TCTGCAGTGGTGGTGAAGGCGTAGCCACGCTCAGTCAGCAGTTTCATCAGCCAGTCGGTGAGGTTTGCACCGGCAACTTCCAGGTAGAGAATACCGCGTTCGATACTGTAGCCTTTGTGAATGGGGACAATGTGACTCACTCCATGGCTCAAGTCTAAAACGATACCCGTTAAACGACCAGAGGCGTAGAGCGACAGCACCGCTTGAATAGCCACGTACATGGCAGGCACATTGAAGGTCTCAAACATAATTTGTGTCATCTTCTCACGATTGGCTTTGGGATTGAGAGGCGCCTCAGTGAGGAGGACTGGATGCTCCTCAGGTGCCACACGAAGCTCATTGTAGAAGGTGTGATGCCAAATCTTCTCCATATCATCCCAATTGGTGACAATGCCGTGTTCGATGGGGTACTTGAGAGTGAGGATGCCTCTCTTTGACTGCGCCTCACCACCCACGTAGCGCTCTGTTTGCTCCCCACTTTGGCGTAGGCGGCCGACCACGGTTGGAAAGGCGACACGAGGCGAGTCATCGCCAGCGAAGCCGGCCTTGCACATTCCGGAACCATTGTCCACAACAAGGTTATTTATTCCTGCCCTCATGCTGCTGTTAAGTCGCACGCTAAGCAAGCTTTTGGTGCCACTCTATGCTTTGACTGATCACTAGACTCCACAATTCTTTGCACTCGGTGTCATCGTCAACTCTAGTGCTTCCTTGCCGCCATGATTGGCGCACTTCATTAGCGGCACATTCTTTTAAGATTAATCGAACCACCTTTTAAAGCTTTGACTTAAATAATATTTTGTAGGCAGGTGGAAAACTCTATCATCAGTTTGTAGGGTTGACAACATTGTTGAGTGGCTGTGACTTCTGCCGCAAACGCCTCTACAATAATTTTCCTGTCTTGACATGCACCTTTATTGCGTCTGTGTTTGTGTGCTTGTGTGTTGAAACATTCAGGCATAAAGATGCACTTGCATGTAATCAGTTTTACTCAAATAATTTAAGTACGCATGTTAAATCAAAAAAGTTGCTGCGTAAATGCCATCATACGCAACCTGCATTCACTTTCTCAGACCTGACAATTTTTTTATTGTTCTCATTGCAAATAAGGGCCTGTTTTGAATAATGAAAGTAGTGAATACCATTTCTTAATAGGTGTTCTTAACTATTAAGTGAACCTGTGTATAAGACAAATAAATGACAGTATAATAGACAACATTGGAGTGGAGGTTCTCTCTGATTTCCAAAATGGGGTGACTTGCAGCTTTGTGAATGTCAATGCATGATGTGTCAGTCAACTCAGGTTGGGAAAGAGCGGTAAAATAGCCAATGCAAACATTCCTGGCCATTAATTTTGACCATCGGATCGTGTTTAAATCCGCTCTAAAGAATGGCAATTGCTGGCAGTAGTCAGTTCACTGGCAAAGCCAAGCGTCATGAAGCAATGCTGTTCCTTGATGCCTCGTAAGACTTCACACTCTGTATCGCTGGTAAAGACGTAGTTGTATACTATCAGCAGCCTAATGAGCCAATCCGCGAGATTGCTGCCAAAATGGCGTCAAGAATGGTACAGCCTTCATAAATGGGTGCCGTGGCCCTAACTTCATCGCTTAAGTCGACCACGATGCCCATCAACTCACCGAGGACGTAAAGCGCCAGTGCTGGCTAATTAATCATGCCCATCTCCGGCACATTAAATATCTCACACATGAGTCGGATAATCAAATCATGATGGAGCATCGAAACAGACAAAGAATAGGGCTGAGGTGATTGGCTGAGTCCTAAGTAGAGCCGAGTACCTCCGACGATGTGTCGGTGGCCAACAGCAACTTGTAAATGCTTTTGTGCAGGGCTGGAAGAGGTGAATAGGATTTTGGCAGAGTAGACAACCTCAGTAGCATTGATGCAAGGAATGGACGTAAGAGATTTGCGTAAAAGAGATTGTGTTGCAGCATTACGATGATGTTACCCACGGTCCTACACCACATGTGCTTAGTGTCACTCCAGCAACATCCTTACAACAAAATCCAGAGGGTAATGCAGAATACAGAATTGAACAAAGGCATAAGAAAAGAGTGCCAAGGAAAGGTAGACTGAAAAAGGAGGCAAAATCAAATTTTAACGTGTCAATCGTAACCTCTATATGGTAATGATTTTTGTAATGAACATACTAATGATTAACTATCAATTACTAAAATTAAGATTTTCCACTTTTTTGTCATACAGTGGTTTTAAAAAAATGTGCCTTAGTGATCTGTGTTAGGCTTCGAGATCCATTAATGATCACCGCAACAAAACACAATTGTTCATTTCAATTTTTGCAGTCATCTTCATAGTTTCATTTCGAAAAAGACAGCGTCGAGGTTGCCGGTAAGGAATGCTTTATTTTACAGAGGAGGTCGAACCGGGTTGGTGTCTCGTCGCTTTGCCTTTACATATGAGCCCTCCAAGGTCTTGCCTCTCTTAGATTGCCTCGGTGCAAGTAAGGGAGAGTAAATTGCAAATGCCACAACTTCGCTCACCTCTAGTGTTTCGACTAAAAGGAGTCTCGGTAGGGCTTGTCTTTAGAAGAAACCAATAGCAAAATGTCGGATATTTTAACTAATGTTCTTCACTCATTTAACGCAATTACTGATAGCAACCAGATGACGTGTGCAAAATTATACAATGCTACTTAATATATAAATAGTAGCAACACTTTTGCCGCTTGCCATTTCTTGTCAGTTACTTTACCATTTCGCAAGGTGTAGGCGGAACAGGCAGGCACTGGTCAAGTGGTTT